TGGATTGGGCTTTAGGCGCTTATATATGAAAAAGGTACCGAGTATAATGCCTGGAGTAATAATGAATGCCAAAAACAACGCAATGCGACTGTTGGGTTTGAACCGTGTCCTCTCCTCTTCTTCTTGAGAGTGGTAACCGTACCTCATCATCAGCGGTAGTGGAGACCGGAGAATATACTAAGCATACACGTAGTAATTTTCAGTCCAGAGATGGCAAAGATTGTATTTACTTTTATATACTCCGTATCAATTAACCAAGTACATACTTGCTGCCTATTTATATCGGAGTAGTACGCGGTAATATAATTGAAAGTGTTTCCCAATTACTCCCTATATTCTAAGTAGGTACCTCTGCTGGTAGGGCCGAGGTGCAATATGTGTTTTGCACCGGAATCCACTCTCCAAAATTTTAGAATATAGTACTCGGTAGTAGTTATAGCCTATGTAGCACCGATACGGGTACCCGGAAATGCGGAAACGGGTACAGGGATACGACAAAACCAAAAAAAGTAGGATACAGATACGGGGCCATATTTATAAATATTAAAACTTATGGGGGTGTATTTATGAATATTAAAAGTTACACGGGTGTATTTATAAATATTAAAAATACATTTTAAAAAAAAATAGACATATCTATATATTTTCCTCTGACTGTACTCATTCATAGCATTGAAACATTTTACATTTTCATGATACTTAAAAATAAGTTCATATTTTATCTCATATACACTAGTGCACATCGAAATATAATCATATCAATAAGTCATTAATTTAAAATGAGAAATAAGTCAAACAACTACAGTTTTGAAATTAAAAGTGCAAGTAGTCAAATTTCTAGAATAATGAAAATAGAAAACAATATTTTAAAAGTTCTAATACATATTGTTGTTGGAGCTATTAATTTCCAGGGGTAATTAAAATTAATGATAGGAGGATGGGTGAATTAGGAATAGGCCCATTAGTTGTGTACCACATAAAAACAAGGGAAAATTATTTTTAGTTTTTCATTTTTTAAGAATTCTATTATGTAAATTTTGAGTTGTTTTTTAAAAAAGTTTTTTTGGGAAGATTTTTTTTAAAGTTGATACGGGTATCCATCAGGATACGAGTATCCGAAAATTTAAAATAATTACCAAAAAAATTGGAAACTTTTAAAAATTGCAGATATGGCCCGAGAACGTACGGTACGGGTATCCTAGAGTATCGGATATGGGAACGTTTCCGACATGCCGATACGGCACCCTAGGGAAGTATGTGTGCTTCTAGGTTATATGTTGATTTTTCCAGATATGATGTATTATTCTAAGATTCTAAAAGGTATATAACTTTTAGATTCTTGAATTTATACTTCGTATACTTTAAACATCTTTTTTTATACTCCAGGGGGGTCTGAGGAGGGGGGCTGGGAGAAGCCTGGAGTAATGAGGGTTGGAATTCACTCCAATCAGTTTCCAACCCTTGTGTGCCTAGCGGGATTCGAACTCGAGACCTCCCACTAGGCATGGTAACCTCACAACTAGCTGAGCTGGAATGCTTGGTTTCCATTGAACTATCTAGGGTCTATATATTTCGTTATTAAATTATATATTTTTTCTTAGTTTTAGGGGCCTCAATTTGTCATTTGGAACTGGGGCAACAAAATTTATTAGACGACCTTGTCTAGTACTCTACTCGAGTTTTTTATGTAATATTACCAATAATGTTTGAGTTTGTAAAAAAGTGACTATAGTTACCAATCACGTACAAAAGCCCTGAAGTAATTGTAGGGAAACCACCTTGTTATTTTGTTCAATAGTCATATCTTTGTTAGAGAGATTAAAAGATCGTGTTTACTAAGGCCCCGTTTGGTAACACTAAAATTGGTTGAATTGGCTGATTTTGCTGAAATTTATGATGTTCTATCTGAAGTGGCTATATTGACTAATTCTGCTGATTCATGAAAAAACTATATTTAAAATATTTGTTATTAATAAATAATATAAAAAATTATATGAAAAAATAGCTAAAATGATGCTCTACAATAACTTCAGCCAATACAGCTAGAAAAGTAACTTCAACCTTACTTTTTCTGCTTATTACAAAATTCAGCGCGCGAAACTAAAAGTTACGTGTTTGGTGAAAAAAATGGCTGATAAGCCTGATAAGCCGAAAAAGGGGTCACCAAACAGACTGTAAGTCATGCTGCTATCTTTTTCAATAATGATCAAAGTGGGGCAAAAAAAGCTGTATTGTATAGGACCGGCATCACTTGGAACGTAAAACTTACGGAGTGTTTTCTGTTCTTCCACTATAATTACTTGACCGAGTAATAATGTTAAATGGTCCTGTAGAAGAACATTAATAGTACGTAGTAGTGTACATTATTTTATGAATTTTGCTATATATATTAACTACATACCCATAGGCCTTTGGTTGCGCTTTCTAATCTGTTTTGATATCTTATTTTTTTTTAAACGTTATAATATATTTTCTAATCTATTTTCGAATTTTACATAATAATTATGTTTTCTATAAAAATATGGAGTACTCTCTTTGATTCTCAAACAAGTTCTCAAAACACTCTTTTTTCAAAAGTCGCAAATCAAAGTTATTAATTATTTAAATGATTAGACAATTTTATTTTTTCATAACTCTTTATACTCTTACGTTAGTTACCTACCTTGAATTCACATTTTATCCCCCAATGCAACTAATCTACTTCTGGTAAGAATATAATAGAAAGTCTAAAGTAAAAAATCAACTTTTTTAAAAAACATAAAGTCTAAGTGATAACTTGTTTGTGGACTGTATAAAAAGTATGTAAAATTACTAAAGGAGATTTGAATTAATCCACGTACATCAACGACGTACTATTCATAAATTTTTAATATCAAGAAAACAATTCTTTGAATGTGAATATTGAAAAATACTGTCAAACGCGAAGCAGTATACGGAGGAATAGTTTTGGCAAAATTTTCCTTTTCTTATTATTGAGTATAACCAGGTATTTATACAAGTAATGTACAACAAAATGAGCCCTTAGCCCGTATAGCAAATATACAACAAATACAAGAAAGGGCCGAGCCCATATTTGATCAACACCCCCCTCAAGTTGGAGCATGCGGTTCGAAAATGCCCAACTTGCGAAGAAGGTAAAGAAAATGTCGTTTGCCCAAAGCCTTAGTGAAAATATCTGCTAACTGCTCTGTAGTAGTGACATGGCGTGCAACTAGCAAACCTGCTTGAATAGCATCCCGAACGTAGTGACAATCAACTTCAATATGCTTCGTGCGTTCGTGGAAGACGGGGTTATGAGCGATATGGAGAGCCGATTGACTATCGCAGAACAAGGACATGAAATTGGAATGATGAATGCCAAGACTAAGAAGTAGAGCTTTAGCCCAGTTTAACTCTGCCGTGGTGGCGGCCATAGAACGGTACTCGGCCTCGGTGGAAGAACGAGATACAGTATGTTGTTTCTTGGTTTTCCATGAGATGGGCGAATTACCAAGAAAAATAATCCAACCGGTAAGAGAGCGTCGTGTAAGAGGACAACTGGCCCAATCGGAATCACACCATCCAATAAGCGTAAGGTTACACGTAGACTGTAGAAGAATGCCCTGTCCCGCCGTACCCTTGAGATATCTAACAACCCGTAACGCAGCTAACCAATGATCTTGGCGGGGAGCCTGCATAAACTGAGATAAGATGTGAACAGCATACGCCAAATCTGGGCGAGTAAAAGAGAGGTAAATCAAGCGACCAACTAGACGCCTGTAAGGCTCCGGATCGGATAATAAATCACTTTGGGACAGAGCCAAATTATGATTCTGTTCCATAGGGAAGTCCGCGGGTTTGGACCCAAGAAGTCCAGCTTCAGAAATAATATCAAGAGTATATTTGCGCTGGCATAAAAATATTATCCCATCGTTACTACGAGCCACTTCAACCCCAAGAAAATATTTGAGAGTACCAAGATCTTTCATATGAAAACAGGTATGCAGATATGATTTGAATCGAGAGATAGCAACAGAGTCATTGCCTGCTATAATCAAATCGTCAACATAAACAAGCACATATAGCTGAGTGTCGCCGCGACAAAAAGTAAAAAGTGAATAATCAGAATAAGACTGTAGAAATCCATAGCTGCGCAAGGAAGCAGCTAACTTTGCAAACCAGCACCTAGGAGCCTGGCGGAGTCCATACAAGGACTTTCGTAATCTACAGACTTGACCAGGCCGAGAGGTATGAAAACCGGGAGGAGGTTTCATGTAGACTTCCTCATTTAAATCCCCGTGAAGAAAGGCATTGTGAACATCCATTTGATGTAATTCCCAGTGTTTAGCAACAGCTACAGCTAAAAAAAGACGAACTGTAACCATTTTGGCTACAGGAGCAAATGTTTCAGTATAATCAATCCCTTCTTGTTGGTGATTGCTAAACACAACAAGACGAGCTTTAAGACGCTCAACCGTACCATCAGAGTTATATTTTATTTTGTACACCCACTTGCATCCAAGTGCTTTCTTACCTGGCGGAAGCTGTTCCATATCCCAAGTATGGTTATTTTCAAGAGCTCGAATTTCAGACTGCATAGCATCACGCCATCCAGCATCTGCCATAGCCTCCTTAAAAGAGCGAGGCTCCTGACCTGCAAGAATGGCTCCAAGAAAAACCCGATGACGACGAGAAAACTTGTCACTCTTAATATAATTAGCTATAGGATATGGCGTACCTGAGGAACCCAAAGAGGAGGCAAATGACGGGGATGGGCTCAACTTCTGAATATGATGCGTGACGAAATCCCGAAGCAAGATCGAGGGCCGTTTAGACCGTTGACCACGACCAAGAGCAACTGTATCTGTTGCGGCATCCGTGGTATCCTGGGCACTGTCCGTAGATGAAGTAGCGACCAGGGAATTACCAGCCACCTCGGGCTGTGCTTCTACAGGATCCAGGACTACCACCGTGGGAGAGCCATGTGACGAAGTGTCCTGGGCCGAAGGTGATGTGTCCAG